AATCCTACTTCCTTCTTCCATAACAGTGGTATGAAGGGAGGGGTTTGGTTGGTTGCTCACCTGTCCACACCTTCCTGCACACCCCTTTGTGTAGCCTCATACCCGGACCGCACGTATTTCCAGATCGGTAGGGAGCACGTATCATCAAGTGATAAACGGCCAGGGTCGAGCTGGTAATCGCGGGAGTGGGTGTCGAAGCCTCGGAGAGAACATTGATGCTGTTTTCGGATTGGACGCCGACAAAGACCATCACCAAAAGAGCCACAGACAAAATTATGCATGCCATCGGGGTGTTCGACAGTTCCACGAATAAAACGTCGTTACAAACTGCATGTGCTGTCAAGAAATTATTGAAAGTCGCCCGCGTGTGAAGTGACCCACAGCCGGTTTATCTGCACGGCACGTAGTCCAGAGAAAGGGTCACTGAGCCTGGCCATTTGACACTGCTCAAGGACTCCAGATACAGTTGTGACGCAGAAGATATGGCGCGTGCACTTGTTTACTGTGCCCATATTTGAAAGGAAGGCAGAAAGAATGAGAAAATTTAAAAATGAGAAATAAGGCAAACGTAATGACACGGAATTGAAAAGAAAAAGATGGGGAGAAAGAGGGAAGAAAAGACAATTAAAGAAAGGAGAGAAATGAGGAAAGAACGCTTGAGAAAGGTGGTTGCATAATGTAAATTAATTGATAAATAGGAGAATTAATAGAGGAACAAATGGAAACATCGAATGGCGCTAATGTTGTTATCGCCACAGAAGGTTGCACTTGTTAACGCATTCGTATTTTTAAAAGTGCTACATAGTTCGAATTATTAGACTAGTACTTTCAAAATTAAATGACTGGACAAGGGACTCAGTACCAAGTTTAATTGAAATTCGTTCATTAGTTTCGGAAATGCAGTATTTTAACGGATAGGCACTATTTCCCCAGTTTACGTTTAAAATTAAGTTTGTTCCTGTTTTAATAATTGGAGGTTTTAGGGAACAAGGTTTCTAGGGGAATGTTTGGAAGTAGGAGGGATGAGGTGATGGGAACTGTGTCATAATTTTTACTCCTCGTCACATATTATTAGCGTTATGAAATCAAGGAGGGTGAGATGGGCTGGGCATGTGGAGAAGATCGGAATGCGTACAGATGTTTTTGTTGGAAATCCTGAAGTGAAGAAACCACTCATTCTTAGATGGGAGGATAATATTGAAGTGGATCTTGGTTGGAGGATGTGTTGGATTCGTGTGGCTCAGAATGAGGACTAGTGGCATGGTCTTGTGAACACGGCAGCATATTTTTGAGTTCCGTAAAAGACATCGAATTTGTTGACTAGCTGAATGAATTATTGGCTTATGAAGAAACACTCTGCTCCACGGATTTGGCTAGTTTCAAGACAGTGAGACAGTAAAGGAGATTAATCTGTACCTCACCTCACCAGATTTTTCTGCACTTCCCGTCGGGACTCCGTCTCTTTCCATTCTCACACGGTGGCTGTGGCCTGTTCGGGATCTGTACAATATTTGGAGATGCAGTGGGATCCTCGGGATTCCCAGCAGGAAGCGATTCGTTTCCAGGCACCCGATTGTCGTCCAGTGCGTTAGTCCTCACGAGAAGCGTGCATATCAACATCATCTCGAAGAGCATTACTAGATTTGAAGCACAATTCATGGAAGCACCTTGCTTATGCTTTTAGCACAAGATTATGATGAAAATATTTAAACGCCTTCCTCCGAATATAACTTCGTTTAGTAACGACTCTACGTATCTCAGTACGTCAACTGACCCTTTGGCTTGCTGGCACTGCTTCGTTATTTTCTCCGCATCATATAAGTGATGTAACATCATGTTGTATCTTTAACATGACTTATGACATGGTCCGGATTCTACATAGTAACATGATAGGTTCATTTACGTCACATACGCTTTGTATTCAGTTTTCCATTCTATAAAATGGAAGGCCGGACTAGTTGCTGATTTCTAAATATTTTTATTCCAGATCTCAATTCTTATTTCAAAACCCTGGGATGGCCGTGACAGATAATCGTTTTGGAATGTAATTCTGCCATTTCTCTTTCTTATTTTTATGTTGTCATTTTTTCTCACTATATTCTTCTTTTCCATTTACTTCTATTGTCTTCTCTACTTTTATTCGCTTTACTTTCATACTTTCATATTCACCTTTTGATTTTATTTATTTATTTTAAGCGAACAATAAATTAAATTGAATCTCTAGTCCATTATGTATTATTATTATTGTTATTTAATTCCTATATAAACTTTCCAGTGGCAGAATATGAGGTTCTCACGGCGGTGAAAATGTTGACTGTGTTCTTCTGGGTTGGAAAGCAGCGTGATCCTCTATGCAGTTAGCATCGTCCTTCCGAAACGTCGTCACGCCACAGAATACCACAATTCAATTCATCTCTTTTATTCCGAAGTTCTAAATCGAAATGACGTTTAAAATGTTTCTGTCAGCATGGTTTGTCTGGAGGAAAACAGCCTTTTGTGTTTTATAGATGAGGTTCTGTTCTACTAATATGACAGAAATTATTTCTATTAATAATATTATTGTCCATATTTTTTCAAGGCACGTTAGGTCGCACTATGAAAGCTGTTAAACTACGACAATATGGAGGTTCTTTTATCGTTCTTATCGCTGGTGAGAAACGTAAGAACAGGTCTATTCAGTCTTAGTTTGGAACAAACCTATTGAATTAATTCAGAGAAAGCGAAACGAAACAATTACACAAAAATATTAACTAACTTAACTAACTAATTTCCTGGTAGCAGAACCCATAGGTACAACACAGACAAAACCCGCCACCGGCCACGATCCTGAGCCAACTCCATCCATTTCCCATCCTCACAGCCCACCTCCCTAAGATCCATCTTGATGTTATCCTCCCATCTCCTTCTTGGTCTGCCCAGATGTCGTTTTCCATAAGGATTCCCTACCAAAATCCTTTATGCACCCCTTGCCCCCCCCCC